CCGGCCCGGCCCCACGGACCCCTGGCCCCACAGACCCCTATCCCCACGGACCCCCGGCCTCACCATCTCAAAGCACCCTTCTGCCCGGGGATCCTCACCCCCAAGGGTCTGTGTCCCAAGCAAGACCCGTCGCTGAGGATTCTTGTCCCCAAGGGTCTCTGTCACTGAGGTTCCCCTTCCCCGAAGATCTCTGTCCCCAGGGTCCCCACCCTCAAGGTCTCCATCCCTAAGGGTCTCACTCCTTGAGGATCCCTGTCCCAAAGGATCCCTCGTCCCATGCATCCTCATCCCCGAGGATCCTGTCCCAAAGGACCCTGTCCTCAAGGATCCCTGTCCCTAAGGATCCTCATCCCTGAGGATCCCTGTCACCGAGGGTCCCTGCCCTGAACAATCCCCACCTCCGAGGATCCCTGTCCCCAAGGATCCCAGTCCCCATGGATTCAGGTCACTGAGGATCCCTGTCCCCAAGGGTCCTCACCCTGAGGATCCCCCCAGCCTGCCCTACACCATTCCTTGTCATTTTAACTCCCCTGCAGGCAAACACCCCCCCACACACACTCTGTGCTGCCTCCACCAGGCAGCACCTCCCTGCCCAGGGCTGTAAATCGGCAGGTGTGGGGTGGCCACATGTGTCCCCTCGGATCCCACAGGACCTGCACCCCAGGGAGAGCGTCTTGCCTGCGCCTCCCCGGGTGCTGCCTGCAGTTTTGGGTGCCTCACACTGAAGTCAGGAGCCCACCTACCCCAGGATGAACCCCCACCCAGGCCATGCCCAAGTGCTTTGACACCCCCAAAGCCTTTGGCCACCCCTCCTGTGCCCCCCCAAGCCCTGCTCTTCCACCTGACTGCAGCTATGGAGGGACCCACACCCTTTGTGGGGGCTGATTTCACCCTCTCTGCTCAGCACCCTGCGAAGCAACAGCATCATCCATCTCTTCTCCTGGGAGCGGTTGTTTCTTGCCCAAGCGCCCCTGGGGCCAGCGGTGGCACCGAGGGACACGTGCTGCAGGGATGCCCAGTGCTCCCCAGGCACCGGAGCTGCCGGGCTCATCCCATCCTATTTGCTGCCACTTGGTGACTCAGTGGTTCTCTCCAAAGAGCTGGTGATTCACTCCTGGGGGGGTCAGATCCTTCCCTGAAAGTTTGGAGGAAAGGAAGGAAACCGAGAGGGAAAGTGGGGAGCAGGGCAGGAACCCGGCAGAACAGCACTGAGGCCGCAGTCAGAGCGGCAGCTGCTCGGCTCACACACCGAGAGGGAAGAGGGGAGAGAGAAATCAATTTAAAGGATGGTGCCAGTGCCAAGAAGCTCATTCCTTCTCTAAAGGGCACAAAGACCGCATTTATTTATTTAAGCCTCTGGCACAGGAACACCGTACTTAATTCCAGCTGGTGTCATTTCCCTGCTCGGGCTTTCATTTGTGTATAACTCAAAGGACTGCTTGGAAATGCATCGTTTCCTTCTCTGCCAGGTGCTTTCAGCACAAATTCTGGCCACCAAACCTCTGCCGGCACTGCCCCATTGAGCCTGGCACTTCCAGGACGAGCTGAGCAGCACGGTGTGGCCTCCTGAGCCCAGCACCACGCTGCTCAATGCCCCTCGGTTCCCACATTTCCCATCACCTCCCAGCCGAGCTGCCACTGTGTGCCAGGGCTCCAGTCCAGCCTTGGAGCTGGGACAGTGGGGCAGAGAGCTAGGTCGACCCAGGAGTCCTGGGGCTTAAACCTGAATCCTGACACAGGATTCCTTCCCTTAAAGTGGGCCAGGATGAGAGCGCAGCACCTGGGTCCCCCCCCTGCGCTGGTAACTGGGACACCAGGGGAGAAAATTGCAGAGGGACCGGGAGGAGATGGCACTAACATTAATCATTTACTGCCTAATAATAAGGCTTCACTTTTCTGGAGCACATCCCAATGTGGGGTTTTAAGAAGCTGGAGATGAGGCCAGCGCACAGCCCTTGGCTACGTCCTACCCCGGGGCAGAGCACGGCATCCCCGGGGTACCGGGACCGGCTGCGGGGTGCAGGTGCTGCCCCATCCCAGCGGGCGGTGTCTCCACGTAGGGCTGCGGGAGGTTGCTGCCAGGGAAGGGAGAACAACGCTCTTAACCGGTGGCTTTTGCATCAAAGAGGTTTATTCTGAGCGCTGCTAATTTCAGACTCCTCTGCTAAATCATTAATAGCTCGTCAGCCCAGGAAGAGATCCCGCAGCAGCGCGGGAGGGTTTTGGGGGCTCAGGCAGTGACTTGCCCTGAGGTTCAGGGGCATTTCTTGTATTTTTCTATTATTTGCTTTTACCAGCCTGTCTGCTCATCTACTGGGATGTGCTATGACAGCTGGGGATGCAGCCGCTGTGGGGGGCTCAGTCACATCCCCAGCCTTATTATTCTTAAACTCATGTCCAGGCACAGCTGCTCCCCATTTCCATTTCCTTTTCTCACCCTGGACCAGGGACTGGAGCTGCAAAGGTGATGAGCAGCACAGACCTGGGAGGTAACCCAAAAAAGCAGTTATTTTATGAGCAGGTAACTGATGGAGCAAGTACCTCCAGAGGTCACTCCAGCCTCAGTGATTCTGAGGTTTCACTCTGGGGAAATGGGGAAAGATCACCAAAAGACAGACCCTGGCCCTTTCCCCCTTTGGGGGTACCCTTGGGGGTCCAGGTTCCACCAAAGCAGAGCAAAAAATCAGAGAGAAGGATGTTCTGTTTAATACCTGCCTGTCCCACAGTTTCTTTGGGTTGGAGGCAGAGGGAGCAAGTGCTGAGCTTTGCCCCTGAACCTACGATGGAGCAGCACCCCTCAAATCCCATTTTATAGCAGCATTTGCATCAGAGACAAGAAGACAGCTCAGCCTGGACTTCAGCTTTCCTACAGCCTGAAACGCAGCCTGCAGAGCTTAAGCAAATGTCACGGCCGTGTCTCCAACAGCGGGCAGTGGAGATGCGGTGGGAGCCAGCGGACAGACAGGCAGGGAAGGGACAAGCAGGCAGCGGGGGCCGGGAGCGGTGACGCAGCAGCCTCTGACGCTCCTCCGGTGTCTGGCAGACGTATGGCAGCGCTGGCAAGAGCAGGAATGCGAGGCAATGCACAAGGGATGGGTTATTTTTCCCCCTAAGGTAAGGTAAGGCAAAGCTGCCACCAGCCCACGTGGGGTGGGGGTGACATCCACCGCAGGCCTGGATGTGGCTCTGCCTGGAACAGATTTAGACTGGGTTGGGTTTGGGGTTTTTTTTTTTGGTTTAGGCTTTTGCTCCTGTCTGGGGGTGGGATGAGACCTCAGCACCTGGTTCCTGTCATCCCTTTTATCCTCTGTGCTGTTCTGGTGCGAAACATGAGCAGGCTTTACCACACACACCTACGTGAAGATGCAGCCGTGGAACATGATGTCTCTGGCAGGAGGAACCCCAAAAAATCAGGCTCCTTGGGGGGAGCAAGGTGGCAGCAGCCCCCTCCCACTCCAGCCCCCTCCCTGTGCCGTCTCAGCCCACTCTCAGCTCTATTAACGCTGTCTTAAACGATAATGACGTTGGCAGCGACGTTGCTGTGACAGTCATGCAACCAAGGACACGCTGTCCTGGTGCCACATCTGCACCCCAAGGCTGGGGCACCCCAGCCACAGACCCGGCGGGGGGGACAGGGGCTGCCCCCACCCTTTTCCTTGCCCCAGGCTGGCAGCTGGGACACCAGCATCCCCCAACCAGCTCCAGGAGCTTCTTAAGCTGCTTCATCCCATCGCAGACATGAAACCAGCCACTCCAGTAACCTGTCCCAGTCCAGTCCTTCCCAGTAAATCTCACCAGTATCCCTTCCCAGGCCAGCCTTTCCCAGTAACCCCCCACCCCACCTTTCCCAGTAAGCCTCCCCAGCCTAGAGCCTTTCCCAATAACCCCTCCAACTAACCCTTTCCAGTAACTCCCAGCCCAGTCTTTCCCAGTAACCCTCCACCCCCCAGTTTTCGGGCACCCCCAATTGCTAACGCCACCGGGACAGCGGTGTACCGGGCCATACATACCGGGGGTACCGGGGCCGTGCTTTACCAAGCCCGGGGCCGTGCCGG